CTTTCATGGCTGATATTTTCCTGGAGTTTTTGCTGCGCTCTGCACAAACAGGAGTGTTTGTGATTATCACCCTGCCCGACACAAAGATGGGTGGGTGACATACGGAAGAGTGACATATTTCTATTTCCTTGTCACTCTGCCATACCAGTTGATCCCCATGCCAAAGTCACCTTGCACAAAAGGAGGCAGTTGGTTAATATTTTTGATATGGACCTGCAGAGTATGTTGAAGACCAGGTGCACCACTCTGGATTCAAAGGCAAAAAGGTGCTGGGAAATTCCAAGAAAGGGCGTATCTATTTAAGGAGTTGCAGAGAGGTAATACGCTTGTGCCCCTGGGACCTCTGAAGCACATTTCACTTTTGGATCCAACAGGCTAAAAAGCTCTAGTGTAGCAGCTAACAAATCATGTAAAAGATGGAGTGGGTCCACCATCAGACCAGACCTCACCAGCTGCTGCCCTGAAGATGTGTTAGGCCGAAATCAGCGCATGAATTTCAGTTCAATGTATCTGTCAGGGGAAGCTGATTCTGAAGGGACTGGACTATTTAGAATTGTGAAAATTTATGCCAATTTCTCCAGGAACGTCTCTTAAAGATGTTCAGGCAAAACATATATCAGTTATGTCTTGCAAAATATCACCACCTCTTTCCTTTGCTGGGATTTGTTGCCGCACACCAACACAATTCTATTGCACCACATGCTGCATTTTTTCAGTCAATACCATTTGTACTGAGCAAGAGGGGCAGAGATGTGCACATTTGCTTAATAAGTTTCAGGCAGGAACGAATTGTAAAGGTAAAATAAATTGTTTCACTGATTTCAGTGTCACTGTTAGCATTTGAAGATGAATGATTTTTTCCCCGTTTAAAAATGCTGGGACAGCCTTTTAAGGATATTGCTAGTGAAAGGACAGGCTTCTAAGTCATTCTACTAAAACCCAGAAGAGTATTTGCCAGGTATCTCCAAAATGGAGCCATCTTCCATATTTAAATCTAGTAGCAGCCCTTATGAAGCTGTTTGCGGTTTGCCATCTGAGATGTGATCTGGGCTTCCTTCCTTGGAGGTTCCTTTCTGCCCTTCCTGCTAGAGGCTTGGAAGCTTCTTCAGCCTGCACATACCTGTATGGCCAGAACCAAACGGATGAGGTCCACTACCACCTCCTCATTGGCCAGCTCAATGCTGATGAGTGCCAGCAGACTGTAGAGGACCTCATAGTGAGCACGCCCATTATTCTCTTCTTTGCAAGTCAAATACATGTGTCGATACAGCTGCTGGGAGTGCTGTGAACAAATATAACAACAGCTTTTTATGAGGAAGCTGCCACTTAATTGAGGTGTTGAATGCAATGCTTTCACACTATTTTAGCTTGATCAATAGGATACGAGGAATGCAGTGCACTGAAGATGTTACCTAGACAGGTAATGAAACATCTGCAAGAAAATAATCAAGCTCGGAGAACACGAAGGACTCCACAGTTCGAGCTACATATATTCTCTTCTATGTAGGATATTTTTTGCAGGTCTGTCATATACTACTAGTGACTACAACCAGTCAGTCAACCCCTATCCTTTATTCTTAACGGAGAGTTTTTGGCAAGTCCTCAAGTACCTTTTTCATGAACACAGTGTCTTGGCGTGAACATTTGTCCACTTTCAGCTTCAGGATGGAGATATCACTGATAGTGCTGTGCATTAAGAAAATGAGAAAAAAAAATTAAAGGGGCATATGTATATGTGGAAGTAAGCCATAACAAAAGTGTAGAGAAAAGAGATTGTTCCTCTCTCCTCCTTTTTAGCAACTCATAGGAGCCTTTCAGGGAGTGGTGAAATTACATGTTTATATATAATTTTTACTGAAGAAATTTGTAAAAGAATAAAAACAATATAAATTTTGAAAGAGAAAAGTAAAGAAAGTAAAGAAAAATAAGTTTAAAAAAGTACAAACAAATAGAGAAGAGCAGGGAAAGAAAAGAAAGTTATAAAGAAGTGGCTTTTGATCTTCTTAACAGCAGTTATAAGTACATTTATATTTTACCCTCAAAGGTTACAACGTAATTTCTTTCCTTCCATAGTCTACCCTTTCTAATCATCAAAGGGAATGGTGAAATTACAGTGGTGTTATCAATCAAAGGAAACTTCCATCAAATTCTATAATAAACCTTATGAAAGGAAGAATACATGTATTTCAAGTCTGAGCCAAAATCCCTCATGATTTTTAATTCAAACCATTAACTGCAAAACAGCTCTTATCAACAGAAGGTTAATGCCAGAAATATGGTCCATCACCAGGTAGTCAGCCTGGTTGAATGACAGCATCACAAGGTTACTGTGTTTATTTTGTGATTGCCAATTGACAGCACTGTTCATTGGGCTGATCCATGAAGAAAAAGCATTCAAGGGAAATTCTAGCACTGAGCAATATCAGAGGAGAAAAAAAAAACTTTTTGTACAAATATTCTTCGCATATATTTCTATTCTTTCTGAAACAACTATATTTAACCTGAACATTCAGAATAGTTAAATGAAGCTCTAGTGCCATAATCATCAGACTTGCCAGAAGACAAAGAGGCTGCCACAACAACAGGAAACGATGCAGTTTCTACTCAGGAAGACAGAAGGAGAGTATAGACAACTATAACTCTACATGCATTCAGATAGTTTGTAGCCAAAATTATCTATGATACTATCCCAAAACATGGTCTCATGCACCATCTCCTCTCTACAACAAGAAAAAAACAAGGCTTGTGCACCTGATTGTCTGGAATTTGTGCTTATTCCCATGGCGGTCAATGAAGCTGATGAGAATCTGCAGGACAAAGAGGCGAATCTCTGCATCCTCCATTAGTGTGGCTGACAAGAGCCTGTCCAGGAAGGAGCTGGGGAGGGCTGTGAGCATGTTACTGCACTGGAAACCAGTGGAAACCTGCAGGTTCCATAGAGAGCCCCTCCATTAATCAACACCCAGCAGATTGTTTGCAATGCACTCAATAAAAATGGCAGTTCTAGCAATCAGGGGCAAGATATTGCTGAAACAACCTTTTCCCATTCTTCCTCATTTCTTTTTTGAAGTCTTAATTTGTCTATTGACACTCAAGAGATATAGTGGTTGGTTTCACATGTTAGCCTAGGTTAAAATGGCACTGGGTGATCTGTAGTTCAGCATGTGGGATAGAAGTCATAGGCACAGCAAGTTATAGAACTGCAGCAACTGCCTTTTGTTAACACAAGTTTAGGTTTAATGTGTTCTGTAAAGTCAGCCAATCTGTGGCTAGCATATTGGCTACCTACTGAGCAAACAATGGTCTGCACTATTGTGTGATCATCTACCTCCTATTCACTGTGATTTGTAGCACAGATGTGTATGGGAGGTGAGAAAGTTGGAGTACACTGCTGGGCCTGAATCAATATGTCTGTGAACAGAAGAAACTAGATCTCACAGATTCAGTGGAGATCTGTCCAGGCACAGACTGAGCTGTAATACCTACTTTGTTTCTGCTTGGATTTGTTTGTCCTGAGGCCAAAAGGTACATTATTTCCTACACAAATGTGGTATCTATTTTTCCCTGCAAACCCCACGTGCAAATGGAGTTCCTCTGTCACATACCTGCAGGAGAGACTTCAGCAACATGATCTGCGTCAATCGATTCCTGTTCTCCCTAAAAAAAGATAAACCATCAAGATTGAAGCCCCGTGGAAAAAAAGACAGGCCAACCAAAATCAGGACAGGATGAAAAAGAAAATCATCAGCTGGGAACGAAATTGTGTATGAAACATGACAAAGAACCCACAACCTCTTATATGGATGTATCATTAAGGAGCAAAACATCATTCTCTCCAGCCACAGGGTGGAGAAAATCTGAACCTGCTGTGGTTATGTGGGTGAAGCGATCAAACAGGAAGAAAGGGTCACCAAAGCAGATGTTCCACTGGGAATGGGGTATGGTGAGGAATGCTGTCACACCAACTGGTCCTTCCCTCCATTTTCTTTCACTGTTTTGAAAGAATAGGGAGGTACTGTTCCCATTTTGCTGTGAAAACCTCACCACTGTGATGCCCGTTGTTTGCCTGTTCTTCAGGTTAATCCTAGAAATATCTACAAGCAGCTTTAAATGTATGCCAAACAACCGTAAGCAACCTAACCTTATTTGTGCCAACTTAGGAGTAAGGTCCACTGATTCCCATGGAGGTGAACAATGGATTGTTGCCCAAATCAGACAACTTGAAACTCAAACTCCTGTGCAAAATCCATTATAGGATCACAGAAGCTGTGGAATTGCCCCCAACACACCTCAGAGATTATTTTCCCTGATGGCTTCCAGTGCAGAGAGAGAGCATTTTCCTAATAGCCCAATAAAGCAGTGGTGGGAATCCTTCTGGTGGCCAAGGGCCACAATTAACGTTTTCCTGGGGAGGACCTGAAGGCGGCAAAATAGTTGAAGCCACATTACATACAACGGCAGGATTGGGCTTTGGGGAGAGCTTTGGGTCTATACAGGACCTCTCTGAGGTTCTATGTTATCATTTTCATCTGTTCCATGCCTTAAAATGGTGAAAGATTGTGCCTTCAATTTTCAGCAGTTATGGTCAGAAGAAAGTCCATGGGCTACAGAAAAGGGATGTGGGGGCTACAGGTTGCCCACCGTGCAGCAAAACATCCTAACAGCTATTGCTAGGATTTCACTCATGTCTGTACACCTGTACAAAAAGGTTGCTGCTTTTCCACCCAGTTGTCAATGACCCATTACCAATCCCGGTTAGCCTAACTGCTTCTTTTTACGCTATTGAGAAATAGGATCACTTTTTTCTCTGGCAACAGAAGTATCATGGACACATTTTGAAAAAGTTCACATTGGTCAGATTAAAGAGTCATTTCCCCCACCCTCCCCTCCACAACGTAACCCCAAGAAAGAAAAACACCTTGACCTAAAGAGCCAGGAATTTCTAATAGGATTGATAAGCTCTTCACAAAGTAGACTTCTAATGTGCCAATAGATATTATAAAGGGCCAGTCTTTCTACTACCAATTGACATAATTGTCAGTCAAGTCTCTCATCAAGCTACTCAACAACTGAAGCTCCTGCAACATCTCCATGTAAAAATCCTACTCAGGAATGGGTTGATGTTTCCTGATTTTTTTAGTATTTGTTTCCTACTACTTTTCCAAGGAATCCACAACCATCTGACAAGACACATAGTAACACACAGTGTCATAGTAAGTGGCCCACCACCAGCCAATAAACAAAGATTACTCTTCCAGTCAAAATTGAATATATATTTAGGGTTGGAAGATGCAATGCTTAATCAACTTTGACTTAATCCAACAATCCAAGCAGGGTCAGACCTGGTTAGTAATTAGATGGGAGACCACCAAGAAATGCCAGGGTTATAGGTTAAAGTAGAAAATTGAAAAAAAAAATCTCAGAAGAAGGCAAAGGTGACCTATTTCCATACTGCTGCCAAGACAACTACCTGGACATATTGATATAATAATCAGGAGACAAGTTCAAATTGAGGGAGTCTTAAGTTTTATTAGTCTTGTGGGGAATATTCAACAAATTTTCAATAATAATCAACTCTCCCTTGATCAGATCTCCTATATGTTAGTGTCCACAGGTATGTCAAAGACAGCAAGAGCAGCAGTAGTTAACTCATCACAGTAACTGTAGAACTGCTCACCTCCCATAACCTTCACACCATCTATTCATACTATTTGCTAGAACTATCTTCCCTTCCTAAATTCATTCATCCTCTTTCCAGCTCTCCACTGCCTATCACAGCTTTCCAGAGTGTTAAGAAGAGTTGATTTCCACTCTGACTTAAATGATGATGACAAACTCTGAATCTGGGCACTGAATTTTCTATGCAAGATGTCCTGCCCTGCTGACAGAATATTACGTATCTTACTCAGAAAGTACTAATATATGTTAATAATCCTGTCTGGGGCCATGTATGAATAAAGAAAGTTGCTTCTTTTGGCCTAAAGTCCAATTAACTGATAGCCCTATGTTTGGGTTGTATCCGTTTCTGGCTGCAAGTAGAAGTTCATATAACTGATTATTGTTTCATATTCAGAGAAAGCTAGCAAGGGTCTATATGATCTTTTGATGAGGTGTTGACATTGAGGAGCATTCAGTTATGTGAGCTAGAAGAGTTACAGCCCAGAAATAAATTCTCTTCCCCAGAAGCCTATATTTTTGATAGTCTGACATAGCCCAGCATAAGTATGGATTCCAGAACTCAGAAGCAAAACAATTTTAAATAAAATTGTTTTATTTTATTAAATTATTTTATATAAAATCCTTATATTCAGGAGCTGTCAAATAGAATCTCTTGCTTATAGCCTGGCAAGATGCCCCCAAGGGTTGTGGTAAAAATGCCTTTGTTCCTCCAAAATTGTTTACTTCCAAGCATTTTCTCTACTCCCGCCTTTTTTAAACTGGTGTCTTTAAGATAGCCAAGTTGGGTACAGATTACGGGAGTCTGGAAAATGTCTTGTAGGTAAAACTTTTTCTACTCTGAAACATACACAACTTCCTTGCACTCTTCTGTTCTCTTCAATTAAAAAATGGTTCTGCATAAACAGAGAGACATGAGATATGGCTTAGCATTTAAATTAATGGGTAACTGCTTGGACTACATGTGATGAAGCTGAAGATGAACAAGGAATTATAAGATTCTTTGGACAAAATTACATGCCTTCTAAGACTATACTATTCTCCCATTCAATTTTTGCATTGTGACACTTAAGATAGCAAATTATTATTATTTTTAAAAACCTCCTTTTATTTTTAAAAAAAGGATATTGGAAAGAAGAGGGAAAAAAGTCAGAAGGATGAATGAATAAAACAACTTGCCCCAAATTGGCATCCCCTAGGGTGTTAGATAATACTGCTCTAATTATTAGATAGCACAGCCAATCACAGTGTGATAAGGGAATAAATAATCCAACATACTTGGAGGGTTCCAAGCTGGGGAAGTCTAGACTGAAGGAAAGGAAATCAAAAGAGGGGGGGGGGGAAGGAAAAAGAAAGAAAAAAGGGGTGAAAAAAGAGTGTTGTCCTCACCCAGCTTTGCCCATGTCTACAGGGTGATGCAGAGAAGGAAGCGGAACTTTGCTCATGATAAACAGCATGACCTCCGACCTCTGATAGGTAGGCAGAGTGCTGGCAAAAGAACCTGGGGAAAGACAGAGCAGGAAAAGCATGCAAGATAGTCTAGTGGGGGTGAGGAAAGGCACAGAGCTGGTGTGGGAACCCAATATAGAAAAGACAAAAAAATCTCCAGCAGGAATGTTCTTACTGCCAGGAAAAACCCTTCCTTATCCTATCAGAAGGAACCACCACCAACCAAATGCCAGAGTACTGTTGGAAAAGAGACCAAGCCCTTCTACGGGTTGCTGTACCAAGTTGCTGTGGGGATACTACTTTCAAATCCTGCTTGGCCATTATGTGAATGTAATGCTGGACTGATAGTGGAGAACCACACAATGCTGGGTCTTTGGAATGATCCAGATTGCCAGGCTCTTTGGGTTTTTTTTTATAAATGGCCTTTTTCATGAACTATCTTGGCTCGGCAATAAAGATGCAGCAGAAAAATTAAGCCAACCAACTTTTCAATGATAAAGTGCTGTTTCACTAAAGCACTTTTGTAATTAAAAAACCCACAGCTCTAAATGGAAGGAATTGAACTATAAGCATATATATACACATATATGCAAATGTGTGTGTCTTTTTAGGAAGGTGATAGAGTGAAGGGAATTGAGTATATATAGTGCATTCGAAAAGTATTCAGACCCCCTTCACTTTTTTCAATTTTGTTATGTTGCAGCCTGATACTACAATTGTTCAAATTCATTTTTTTTCTCCAAACAAGCTGATCCAGCAATTCTTCAGAAACCACTTCCTCTTCTGGAAGATTCCTTTG